TGTCATTAACGAAAGATAGAGATTGCGCTCTGGCGGGCGAGCCGGGGTCTCTCAGTAGCGTCGGGTGAAGCGCGGCTCCGGGGGCCGGGGCGGCCGCTCCTGTCCTGCAAACACTCCCTGGATCCCGGTGCTGGGCAGCGCTTGGCTCTGGCTCCCCAGCTGCGTGAAGCCTCCGCGCCTGCAACCAAGAGCAAACCCCGCTGAGAACAGCCCAGGAATGGGCAGAGGGCTCCGAGCAAAGAGGTGGCTTTGGGTGAGTTTTCTACTTGCCAATCCATAGTTAAGGAGAAGGCGAAAAGTGTTTGTCATGATTGAGACAGGGATTTCTTCTGTTAGACAGGGCAACTACTGTCACGACATGAGAAGTGCTCTGACAAAGCTCCTTACCCTGACAGCCCTCCTCGATTCACAAAAAAAAAAAAAAAAAAAAAAAAAAAAAGAGACAGACTTTTGTGTTTTCCCGAGAAAAAGCCACCTCCTTTCCCAGAATTTCATTTGCTTTCTTGGCAATGCTGCTAAAGCTCCAGAGGAATTGGAACTGCTGCTGGAAGTTGAGCAGCAGGAAGAGGGGAAACCACACTGGAAGCAGCAAGTGTACCTTGCTCACGATCCCGTCAAAAAAAAAAAAAAAAAAAAAAAGAGACAGACTTTTGTGTTTTCCCGAGAAAAAGCCACCTCCTTTCCCAGAATTTCATTTGCTTTCTTGGCAATGCTGCTAAAGCTCCAGAGGAATTGGAACTGCTGCTGGAAGTTGAGCAGCAGGAAGAGGGGAAACCACACTGGAAGCAGCAAGTGTACCTTGCTCACGATCCCGTCCCATCACTCCTCCAGCCACACTGCCCTGCCATGAACGAGCTCCGTGCCCCTCTAACCTTGGGCCAGCATCTCCCCAGCCACGGCCAGCTCTTCAAAACATAAGAGAACATCTTCTAGTGGGTCCCTTCTCCGTTGAGCAGCTCAAGGGGAAGCCAAACCCTGTACCCATCCAGAGCTACTCCATGGTTAACCAAGACCCAATGGTTATAGTAACAACTGGGCAAAGAGAAGCTGCTGAACAGTGTCCTCCACACCACAAAGCTCCTCTTTGTCTGCTCCACAGAGACAGCGTTAGCAGCACAATGGACTGAAGGACTTAAACATGGAACAACTCATTGACTGGCTGGTGGATTTAGGCCATTCCTGGTGGGTGGGTTGAGGGAGAACTGCACATGATGCATCTGGACTGTGTCCAGCTTGACTGGATGGTTTAAAGAGAAACCACCACGTGGGGCTCAGTTCTCCACCCCCAACACTGTGGAGCTTCTGACTCCAGTTTCCTTAAACCCTGAGCCCTAACCCCAGCTGAGAGTGTGGGAGGTGGAACTGGAGCATCCGGGATGGGGCTGAGTCTCAGCTGCAGAAGAGAAAGTTACTCATGAGAGAATCAGTCAGGAGCTGAGCTAAACTGGGCAGCGCCTCTCTCCTCACTCCAACACTCTCCTGACACGTGGGAACGTGCTTCTATCTGGAGGCAGGATTCACACTTGTCACCCTTCAAAGGTTCACCAAGAGCTTCAATGTGAAGAACCAAGGAATCACTCCCCTGGTTCCACGGGCACTCACCGGCTCGGAGGGGGGATCCCTCTCCCTTCATTCATCCTCCGGTCAGAGCCGTAGCCACCCCAGCTATCCCGGGAATGCCGCTCGGGGCCTCCGTGCCGCTCCTCCGGGTAGTGCTGGAAGGCAAATGGCATGGAGTTATGTCCAGCATCGATACAGGTTTTCTTTCAAGAGAGCAAAAAAACAGCTCCTTCCAGTTTGCCTTTCTATAAGCTGACAGCAAGAGCAGGAGCTGTCTCTGGTTTTCCTGCTCCCATGGCTTGCTTCTCAGCACCTTCTCAGTGGTGGGAGAAGGTTTTTTGTTGGGGAGGGTGGTTTTGTTTTCCAGGGCAGCTTTAAGGCTTCATTCTAACTCCAGATCTTTCATGTTTACATAGAGTATCTGCCTACTTCCTGCCTCTCTTCAGAAATGAAAGGTTTTGCACACCACCAGGGAACTGGTTTTCACCAGAATCACCTCCCTCGTGCCATTAGGACACCAGTTACTTCCCAGATACACCCATCAGAGAAGGGACCCCTCTGATGGGTGAAGCAGGCAGCGTGTGCACTGTGTTCTTTCCACTTTGGGGTTGGCTTATCTGGCTTTTAAGTGCAGTGGGTACTGGTATCACCCACCTGCCCATCGCGATCCGGTATTCCTCTCGAACCGTCTCTTCTAGAACAGAAAGAGAAGTTTTGGATGAATCCACACAGTACTCCTAATTCCAATGTCTGTATGAAATAGGGCAGCAAAGTTTATCTTCATTAGGCTGTAAAGCTGAATGCCAACATGTGGTTAGTGTAAGATACTCAGATGAGTTCGTGTTCCACAGCATACGAAGAGCTCGAAGTGGCACCTATTGCTGTAACACAGCACGTGAAGCGTCACTGAGGCATGGGCAGGCCCTCGATGCTACCAAGGGAGAAGACTGAGTGACCCTGCCACTATGAGAAACGAGTTTCAAGCAAAAGCAAAGCAAGACAGAAGTCTCAACAGCACAGTGCAGAACTGTGGAACTAAACATCTGCACTAGCTGGGCTGCAAAGATGGAAGCAGGAAAGGCTTTAAAGCAAAAGGAAACACTTCAAGCTTAGGCTAATGAACAGGGATTTGTAAACCACGTTTCCATCCATCTCCAGAGCAGCTCTGGGATCTCCCTTGGCATGATGGCAGACTATGTTAGGACTTGGCTTACAATCTTTATGCAGCCTCTTTCCAGCATGTCCAAACCCAACAGAAACACAGGGCTGCAAGCACGGATGAAATTAAACACAACAAATGAACCACAGCTTGTTTCTTTTGCTCTTCTCTTTTGGCACCCTTCCACAAAAAGACACCCATTTCCATCAAGGTATAGGGATCAAAAGACATCTCCTTGCCAACCTGTCCAAACAATGATCCTGGTACCGGCCACGGTCCCTGTGGTCGAAGTCGTGGAAGCGATCCTGGCGGCTGAATTCGGAATGGTACCGATCGTCCAGCGCCATCCGCTTCGCCTCGGACCAGTACGGGTCGTCCCGCCTGCAAAGGAGGTCACTCACCATCAGCAGTGATCCCAAACCCACCTTCCTTCCCTGATCACTTGAGAGCAAACCTGATCCAACACAATTATCCGAACCACTGGTTTGGATTTATAACCAAGAACTCCTGTGTGCTTCAGTTTCATTGCACTTCAGAGGAGGTGAGGATTGACACTATATATAAAGCTTGATCTCAGTGTGTGCTGATGCTAGAAGAGAATGCGCATCTGATCAAGCAATCCCCTTCAGAAACAACAAGCAGCTCCTGCTCTTGGTCACTCCTCTTTGGGATGTAGGAGTTTTACACCTGCTGTAATAAAACGCTGCTCACAGAGAAGAGGATGAACATTTGGTCTCCCTCCAGCTCAGTATCAAAGTGTTCAAAGCAACATAGAAATAGTCTTTCAGTTGTGAGCTCCCACAACTGCTTCAGCAAGAGTACTCACAATTTACAAAGGCTTTACAATGCTCTGTAACTGGAGTTTGGGATCCCATCGTGGTATCATTACCTGCCATCGGGATCGTAGGGCCTCCGCATAGCAGATCTCCGCTCCTGTTCATAGCGGAGCTGCTCCTGCTGACGCCGCAGCTCTTCCCGCTCCCGCTGGATCCGCTCCTGCTCTCGCCTCCTCTCCTGCTCTATGTGCATTCTTTCCCTCTCCAACCTCTCCCTCTCCAGGCGCTCTCTGTCAAGCCGCTGCCTCTGGAATTCCAGCCGCTCCCGCTCCCTCTGCAGCCGCTGCCTCTCATCCCGCTCGTGAATAGCCTGAAGCCGCTGCTCCCGATCCCGCCGCTCTCGCTCGCTGAGGGTAAGAGAGACACTTTGGTGTCAATCCAGGAGCTTCAGCCTAAGCTTTATCTTCATGACTTCTTTGTTATGGGGGGTTTCTTGTTTCTGTTCTTCCCACGACCTGCTTAAATGGGAATGATCTCATCTAAATCACAGCTATTTAGTTTAGGGGGGGAGGGAAGAAAGACTCAGGTGAAAAGCAAGGATAAGCTTTCTGTGTGAGCTCTGAAAGAGCTTTCACAGAGCACAGCACATCCTAAGACAGAAGTATGACAAACAGAAAGCATTTACAAACTTCCACGGAAAAAAGTCAAGCATGGAAATGCAAATGGAGTGGAGCTGGAAGCACCTACAAAGGTGATTGCTCGACAAGAGCCTCCTGAAAAGCACAAGCTTAGAGAAGAGAGATTTTAGTGGTAAAAAGCTTCATCATTTGGCCTTATGTCTGTTCTATCAAGAGATTAGCACCAAATCCACGTGAGACCCCAATGCTGGAAGGCCAGTGGCCTGTTCCAAACACAGAGGAGGGAAGGAAACCCAAATGCTGTCCACAGGGAAGGGGGAAGGTGGGGAACTCACCGGCGCCTTTCCGTCTCCCGGATCTCCCGCTCCCGCTGTCGCTGCCGCTCCCGCTCTCGCTGCTCTTTGATTTTATCAAAGGATAAAATATCTTGTTTTTCCTTGCTCTCGGATTTGCGATCCTGGCTCTTTGTACTCTGAGTTCAAGCAAAACAACGCAGGAGCTCAACACGGTGCATGTTTCAGCTGAAATCCCCAGGTAAAAGGCCTACCTTGTGCCAACCTGAGCAAAACAGACATCCCACCTTCCCAGAGATGTTGGAATTCCATGGGAAAGCCAGGCAGGGGAAAGCACCCTGCCTGTGGCTACAAGTTTAAAGGGTTTCTGTATATATAAATACTTGGGGCACATGATGTGACTTGTGCCGGTGGCAAACGATACGTGGCTTTAAAGGTCACCGGTCACCACACTCCGTGCTTGGGGAAACACATCATCTCAATGTCATTTTCACACTCCAACTCTGTCTTCGACTAGGACAGCAGTGAGAAAAGCTATGAAGAAGGTGAAGCACCAGCATTTACCTCTGCAGCATCATGAACACCCTAATGCTGTCTAAAAGTGAGAAAAGAATTGTTCCCAACAGGCAAACCCCCCTTCAACTACAGGCGTAAAAAGCTGTTTGTCACTTATTTTGGCACAAAGGCTTATTTTGACATAAAGGCTTTCTTCTGTCCTCACCCTCTCTTTTGATGTGGAAGTTTTCACACTAATAACTGGTTCTCCCTTTGATTTATCCATCACGACCGTCCTCTCAGTTCCTCGACTCGCTAGAAAACAAAATCCATCCAGGAATAAATAATGTGCAAGACATTCAGTAGTTCTTGTGAGATTTCAAACCACTGGGATACTGAAGCAGGAAAAAGTGACTTTATTGAGGTTTGTTGAGGTTTTACTGGATTATTCCATTCTTATGGAAGAATCTGTTTAGGATTTCAACAGCTTACCAAGCTTCGGCCAAGCTGGGGATGGGGCAGGGAAGCTCTCACAAAATTGCCACAGTTAAAGGCTCACAGAATTACAGTGTCAGGTCTAAACCCAGTGAGAGTTCCTAAAATTCACCATTTACCATTTCCTTGGAAGTCCAGGAATTAGGAAAACTTGGTTGCCTGAAAACAGGCATTCTAAGTCAGGAAAAAGGGGTTTGTTCACCAGCAAAACCTCAATGTTACTAAGGACACTTTGGGGTCTTTTCCCAAGTTATGGTTCACATCTACTGAGCACACTGAGCTCTGAGAAGCTCAAGTCTTCTGCTCAGCCATGATTCTGCATGTTTTTAAAACCAGCCTCCTTGAAAGCATTTCTAAAAGGCAGCTGGAATTACCTGACTTGCTTGCCCTGGATCTATCAGATCCAGCCTTTTGGTCATCTTTCTCTTTTCCTTCTTTTTCGTCTTTTCCATCTTTTTCTGCTTTCTTAGCCTCATCCTTTTTGTCAGGCTTCTCCTCCTTCTTAACACCAACAGACCTAGAGGGAAGCTTTGCTTTAGTAGAGAACCTAACAACAAGTGCTATATGGCCATTCTGACCAAGCCAAAACATATAACACACACACCTCCCCCCCCCAAACCTCAACACAATAAATACTCTCCAAAAACCCACCCCCAAACCCTTCTGCTGTGCTGAAGCCAACTTGTACTTCAGGGTTTATCTAGGAACAGGTTCACTGGGTATCTCCTGATACAAGTGACAAGATTTGATACTAAACCCTGAAAAAGCTCCAGATGTCTGAACAGAGAACACATTAAGATGCACTTGCTGCTGCAGAACACCAATTTCATCTTTCCCAGTATCACTCCTACTTCTGATGCAGTGTGAAGCAACACATTGAAATTCATTAGTTATTGCTCACTTTGCTCACATGGCTGCAGTTCAAGTGAGTGGCCTTTAAACATCAAGAAAATACCCAAAACCACTTTACTTCTCAGACTTGGACTCTGCAGGATGGTGCCTGTCTTTTTCCTTCCTTGTTTCCCCTTCCTTTTTGTCTGAAGGCTTTTTCCCAGCCGGTTCATTTTTTGCCTGGAATTTGAAGCAGAAATATTTGTGTTGTAAGAGATTAAGCCCTGAAACTTGCCCCTGTTTGTTTTCATTGCAGTGTCATGGAATAGCCACCTCTTACCTTTTCCACTGAAATCATTTTGCCATGCAGCTCTGTCCTGTGGAGGTGATTAATACACTTGGTGGCTTCCTCAGCTGTTGACATGGTGACAAAGCCGTAGCAGCGGGAGCCGGGGCTGCGAGCGTTGGTCACCACTTTGGCACCAACCACCTTTGGGGGAAAAAAAGATCATTCTGTGGTTGCAGATCTCTTGCCAGATAAATTCTCATCATCACTTCATAGACTCATGGGATGCTTGGGGTTGCAAAGGGCCTTAAAGCTCATCCAGTTTCAACCCCCTGCCACGGGAACTGTTCTGTTTCATTCCCTTCAAATGGAACAGGTTAAACCAGCATTAATTGGACACCCAAAGAGGTATAATGAGGCTTCAGCACACTTGATGACAACCCACCAGTCTCTCCTGGCAAGAGACTCCCCATTTTCAGAGGTCTCTGCACAGAGATTCTCCAAAACATGACTTTCAGACAACCTTCCTCAGCTTGTCTTCCTCAGACAGGAGTTTCAAAAGAACACAAGGAATTTCAGTGTTTACCCTCCCCAGTTATTCATGAGGAAAAATAAGAGCTAAATTTAAGGTCATCCTTTGAAATGGCTACAAGGGTTTGTTAATGTACGGATCTGCACCGTACCTTTCCATACTTGCTGAACAGATTCTTCAAGTCTGTAGCTCTAGTAGAGGATGAAAGGCCACTAACCCACAAGTTTCTGCCAGAACCACTGCCCCCACGGCCTGAAGTACAAAAAAGGCAAGCAGAAAACACCATGAGCACAGGAACACAACAGGGAAAAGGTAAAGACCTGAAAAAAAAACCCAACCCACTATTTTTTTCCTTCATAGAATCACAGAATAGTTTGGGTTGGAAAGGATCTTAAGATCACCCAGTTCCAACTTCCTGCCAAGGGCAGGGCCACTTCACCCTAGACCATGTCACCCAGGCCCCTGTGTCCAACCTGGCCTTGAACACTGCCAGGGATAGAGCATTCACCACTTCTCTGGGCAACCTCTGGCAGAGCCTCAGCACCCTCACAGGGAAGAACTTCTTCCTTATATATATACCAAACTTCCCCTGTTTCAGTTTGAACCCATCACCCCTTGTCCTATCGCTGCAGCCCCTGACGAAGAGCCCCTCTCCAACCAAACTTGGTTAGATTTGACCTTACAACATTTTTTCCCTCAAATAATTTGTGTATTTAACAAAACAAAGCAACCTCCTCCCCTCCCAAAACCTACCCTTCTCATCCTTTGAGATCATCTTCGTATCTCTGTCCTCCTCACCGGGGCTAAAGACAAAACACCACGTTATTCAAATACCCGTATGCACAAAGACCATTAATTCTAGATTGTGCATTAAAAATGGGATACCTACCAGTAAATTAGTTCTGAAATAAACACTATCTGTGCAAATTTATGGAAGATTGACAGGAAATATGGGATTCATATCCTCAACCGGACAATTCTGGTTTGCAGTTCACAGAAATAAAGAGTAATTTAAGAAAACAACCTCTGAAGG